AATAACAGCAGCTCAGTCACAGGATACTTGCTGTGTGCTGGCACTGAGCTCATTTGCATATTTCCATCCTATTGTGCATTATAATATTTACCAGCTAACATGTTACCTACTAAGTTACTGACACTGTTCTGAGGGTTTTAATGTACCAACTAATTTAATGCTCACCAAACCCCTATGAAAACACTACCCAGTACTTCTACTGTTATCATTTTACAAATGGAAACACAGAGGTAGAGAGAGATTAAATATGTCCAAAATCACCCAGCTAGAAAGTGAGAGATGAACCCAGGCCATCTAAGATGTAAGGTGAGTAAGTGACTTGTTCAAGGTCACACAAGTGGCTGAATCAGAATTTAAAAGTCTGACTCCCAGAATTCTGCTCTGGAAAACATCCCCAACATAGGCAAGGAAGGGACCCCCATTGGCACCAAGGAGACAGGGTGGGACTGCTTCTACTCTAATTCTGGCTCTCTTCCTTGCCCTGGGCACTTCCCCTATTGTCCCAGATTTACCTACCCTGGGGTCTGTGCCTTCAGCAGCATGTGGTCAGGGGCGGAGGCTGTTACCCTGGGCAGTCATTTTAATCTTTGAGCTGACAGGACAAACATCTTGACCCAAGTCTGTGGATTTAAGTTCTCCCTCCTTTTTTACCTCCGTGACCTTGGCTAAAGCACTTTCTCTCTCCCTTAGCCTGAGCCTCAGAAGTGGTGGTCCTTTCTATAACCCAGAATAGGATCCTTCTGGGAACAGGGAAAGGGATGGGACCTCCTTTTCCAGGAAGACAGGCAGAAAGGGCCCAGAGTAATGCAGGCACCTTCCCAGAGACTGGGAGCTGAGGTCAGATCAGGGGCTCTTTCTTCCATCCTTTTTTTCCTTCAGGGCAGTGCTGGAGCCCCCACTCTAGCAGGACCAGCATGGACCTGTCTGGGGGCAATGGGAACCCACAGGCCTTTCACAGTCTTTTTTGTCCCAACTTTTGGGATCAAGAGTGGATTGTTTTCTAAGCTGTAGACTAATTCATTCACTTCCCATCTGTCTCCTCCCTGGGTCGTCAGTGGCTGGAGCAGCTGTCTCAGGCTGGAGTCGCCCAGCCTGGCCAGAAACCAGAGAAGTCTCTTTGGAGATTTGGACCCATTTCTGAGAAGCTCATGAAAACCACTTTGCCTTGGTAAAAGGCAGCCTTCAAATGCAAGTGGGAGAGAATGGCCCTTTAAAGTTTAAATAGGACTGACCCTTTTCCTAGCCGCTGGGTTTCTGGAGGGACATTAGAAGGCATCCATTCCTTCTCACTCAGGAAGATCTTTCCCTCAGAGGAGCCCTCCATACTGTTTAACCCAAATCCCCAGCTCCAGAGAAGACAGCAGGCAGGGAGCCCTGAACTGGGGAGTGAGCAGATCATTGGGAAGGTGTCTCCAAGCGCCAGCCTCCTTTAGTAATGCTTAGCAACCCACAGTGTTTGGAAGTTTCTCTAGCTTTTTAACTGGGTCTCTCCACCTGTACTCCAAGTCCTGCATCTTGGGAGGCAGAGGAAAGTGAAAGGATACTAAGGATGAGAACGGCTGCAGGATGAGTTGTGGGTGGGCAGAAAGCCCGCAGAACTTGCTGGAGTTTTTGACAACTTTCCCCACATGGCTCCATCCAGAGTGCCCCCTCACATAGCCGGGCTTCCCATATCGTCGGGTTCCCCACCATTTGGCATAGATTCCCTAAAGCGGTCAAAGCTCAAGGAAGATCTTGGGTATCATGCCTACTCCCCACTTTGCAAGTAAAGAAACAGGTCTAGAGAGAAGCAGGCGCCGGTGGAGAAGCTGACTTGAGCCCACGTCTCCCAGGCCCGCTGCCCTCTTGCTATCCACAGTTCCATGTTTAAACCAGAAAGGAAACCATCACTATGATTGCCATGTCACAAGTCTTTCTTCCTTTGGCCCCATTTTCTAAGAGCTTCCAAGGACCTCAGCATGGCCCTGGACCATGCTGTGCTTCACCATACCTAGCTCTAAGCACTAGTCTCTTATTTACCTGTTTGTCTCTGGTCTATTAGCCCCTCTCCCTGGTTGAATTGGGAGCTCCAAGATCAAAGGTCTTTGTCTTCTGAATCAGATCAGATCAGATTTTGGTTGTGGTTGGGGTGGTAGCAATGTTGGGTCTCCATTTTTTAGATTTCTCCCTAGTGACCGTGCTCAGGGGAGTAGACAAGACTGCTATCATATCAGTACTGGTCAGGAAATAAAAGTGTTTCTACATGTGTGACAAAACAGTGACCTTGCCCAAAGTTGATCCCCTCAAAAGGATATTCTAGAAAATTTCTGATACAGAGATACACAAAATAAGGTCTTGGACAAGGTGCGCAGTTGTGCTTTTGAAGCTATGCAACTTTGGACAAACTACTTGACCTCGCTGTCTCTGCTTCCTTATCTGTGAAATAGGGATGATAATGGTACTCTCCCCATGAGGTTGAAATACAGATTAAATGTGTTTAGTGTTTATAACGCATTTAGTCAGTACTAGGAATACAATATGTGTTAAATAAGTGTTTACACACATACATTACACACACACACACACACAGCTAATGCTCTCAGTCGAGTGAGCCGTGACCTCTTTGGTCATAGCCTTGAAGCTAGTCACAGAGGGGAGTCAGCTGACCTGCCTTGCAGTGTACCGCCAGCTCTCCAAGCAGGTGTGGAAAGGATCTTCCGCCCCTCCACCATGGGTCACCCCTTGCCCTGCACAGAGCCTCTCCCCAAAGTTACCTCTAGGATCAGAGTCACCCAGGGCCCTGCTTCGGCGCTGAGTGCCAGTTCCTCTCCACTGTCACCTGTTGTGTTGCATGCGGATGGCCCTATCAGGAGAAGCAGGGTGAGGCAGGGCAGCATGGTGCGCGTGCTCTGACTGAGGACCCTCTGGGAGCCCTTCTCAGCCTGAAGATACCGTCTCCAGTGGCTGCCTTTTGGCTGCTTGAGTGTAGGAGGGGGAAATTCCCCTGTCCTCTGGTCCTTCCAGCTGTTCTGCTTTCCTTTCTCAGCTTATTTGACCCCGAAACATTTCCTGTGCCGCCTCTGGTCTGGGAAGGCCAATGATGGGCCGAGCTGCTCAGGAGGAGGGATCAGACCTCTCCCTGCTGTGCCCCCAACATTTGATCCAGGGCTTAGCACTCTGATGCAACATCAGCCTCACCTCTGACTGTCTCCCTCCAGGGGCAGTGCACAATGGCATAGTGTGTTGGGAGTGCAGCGTCCAGCTCCAGGCCCACAACCCCCAGGGGACCTCATGTTGGAAAGAGGAAGAAACAGGCAGGTGGCTCCTCCCTATGGCTCCTCCTCCTTTGATGCCTGCTCCCCTGTACAGAGAGTCTTCCTCCCAGAACTTAGTACCCCATCATCTAGCTCCCCTTCTGATGGGGATTGAACCCAGGGGTCTTGTTCATGCAAGGCAAGCACTCTACCAACTGAGCTATATCACAAACCTTCCCTGTTCAGTTCCTCCCTCTTTCACCGAGGCATCCATTCATCTATCTGTCTGTCCACCCATCAGAAGTCTAGAACCAGGACTTGTTCAGAGACCTGAATTCCAATTCTAGCTTCCTCTCTGAATGACTGTGAGACCTTATAACCCTCATGTAAAACAGAATTAAAGATAGCACTCTTTCCAAAATTTGGTGTAATGAGATAACGCATGCGGAACACTTAGCACAGTGCTTGATGGTAAATATGTAATGCCTGTTTACTATTATTGGTGGCAGATAGGCTAAATTCTGTTTGGCATGTGCCAGCCTCTCTTGCCCTGCCTGAGACTCCAACCCACCACCTGCTCCCAGGACAGGATGAGACTTCCCACCCTCATGGTTTAGCCTGTCATTGCCTCTGCCTGGATGTTCCTTTCCACTGGTAAACTCCCAATCATCCTTCAAGTTTGGTCCCACTTGCTGTGCACCCCCTTATTAGGGTTTTTCTGACTCTAATCCCGTCTCTAGCAAGAATTAATTGGCCTCTTTTCCAATACATCTCTTATGGTTCTCCAAAGACTGCTGTGAGAGGCTGTGCAGGTTGTGTACTGAACAAGGGTAGCGCTTGAGGGGAGAGTGGAACTCAGCCTGTTTTTTTTTTTTTTAATCAATTTATTTATTATTTTTTTTTAAAGAAAGAGTGAGAAAGAGAGGGGGAGAGAGAGAACTTTAATATTTATTTTTCAGTATTTGGCGGACACAGCATCTTTGTATGTGGTGCTGAGGATCGAACCCGGGCCGCACGCATGCCAGGCGAGCGTGCTACCACTTGAGCCACATCCCCAGCCCCTCAGCCTGTTTTGATCACTAAGCAACAGATCCTTGAGGGAGGCTGCACACCCTGGAAGAAGGAGGTTGGCTCCAGTTCTCCCAAATGGGCCAGCTGGGCACAGGGCAGCCCTGCTAGTTGGCTATGTGGTAGTTGATTGTGCTGTGAGCTCTTTGAGAAGGGGGCTGTGAAAGACAGTACTTGGCATGCAAATGGTCCTTAATAACTGTGCATTCACTCTGAGTCCAGGCCAGCTAAGACAGAGCTAAATAAGGGCTAGCATCGAGTATTTGGAGGGGACTCCCCTCATCCAGGAATCTCTTTGGTGGGTCCCAGCCAGGATGGCTTCAGAATCCCAGAATTTGCTACAGTTCTCTGGTTCAGCCTATTTCTCCCAAGCCTGGGCTGGCCTGTGGTCCTTCTCAGCACTCCAGAGAGGTATCTTGTTGACTCTTAAGTCTAAGGGCAGGATGCTTAATGCCTCACATTCTCTTTTGGGCTTTCCACTGTTGTTATCAAGTTCTTTCATACAAATGGGGTTTTACTGGGCTGGGGATATAGCTCAGTTGGTAGAGTACTTTCCTTGCACGCACAAGGCCCTGGGTTCAATCCCCAGTACCACAATTAAAAAAACTGATGGAGTTTTGCTTTTCATCCTCTTCATTTTATTACAGATATGGAAACTGAGGCAGTCTGGGCTTGCTCTAGATGACACTGAGAAGTAGTGGCAGACCAGCTTCCCAGTCAGTGACTTCCCATCTTCCCTGGGGCCTGATTGGGAAGAAGGGTGCAGGCAGACCCAGCATGGGCCTTTGGACAGAAGAGATGGCCTTCCATTTGCAGATGTAAAGGGGGTGACCTTAGCCCCTAAAGAATAAGGTAGTCTCATTTCACCATTTGCAAAATATTTGAAGCTGCCCCTCATAGGGCAAGGTAAACATTTCATGAAGTCCTGCTA